ACTATTCATATTAATTAAATAATGAATGGGGTTGATTCTGCATCAGTTTGATAATGTGTTTGCCTATATCTCCAAATGCATTATACAATTAGTCATTATGATTATCATTACATTAATTAGCAGGATTTAACTCAATGGGGCACCACTGTTTTTTCAAAATAAAAATTATATGATATGATAAATGTATTCTCCAAAAATTAAAGTCTCAATTTATTTTCTTGACAATGCATTTAGGACCCTCAATAATAATTAAATTAATACATAAACAGTTACCATAACATATTCGTATCTAGTAAAGGTTAAAGTAATTCAGAGTTTTTTCATTATGGGTTGGCAGTAAACACTCTTAAAACATTAAACAAACCTTGACATCTACAATATAATGGCTGCCATCCTGAATCAGTTTTGCTGTGCTTCCTGCTTCCACCAGCCTTCAGCTTTATTCTGTTTCTGCTTTACTCTGAGCTTACGACGCCTATCAAAATACATAGTGCCGCCATGCTGGATCAAACTGTCCTCTCATCTTTGTTTGCGCTGAAAAACCTAAGGCCATGGAGCAGTGTTTGAACCCCCATCTGACCTATTTTTAGCATTGGAATGTTTTTAGATATGAATAGCTAATGGAGGCAAGCTAATCCAGGTTCCTCTCATGCTTCTTGGTCGCTAGCGTGGTGGCATGCAATCTATTTTTGTTTGTCTTGTTCAAGGTTCTTTATTGTCAAACTAACATAGCTACAGAGTAATTATGTTGTTGAAAATCTTAGGTCACAGGCTTCTCTAACAATGCAACACAATAATACAGTTAAGTAGACAATATTAAAATATACTATATTAAAAGTAATACAAAAAGTAAAATAGTTTTGAAAAAGTGAGAAAGAAAAAGAAGTGGAATGGTGCAATACGAGTCTATATAAAAGTTATTGGAATGATATATTAGATAATAGATAAATAATTACTAAGTAGCAGATGAATGTTATGAAATTGTTTCAGCAGTTCAGTTGTCTTATTGCCTGCGGGATGAAGCTGACGGCAGCAGACTGAACAGACGGCAGCATACTGAACAGTTTGTGGCTGGGGTGATGGGGGTCTTTTATAATCCGGAGGATTTCTTCCTGAGCCGCTGGGAGTAAAGGTCCTCCGTGGATGGCAGCTCCGTCCTGGTGATGGTTCTCTGCAGTTTTCACCACCCTCTGTAAAGCCTTGCGATTGAGGGAGGTGCAGCTACCGTACCAGGCCGTGATGCAGCCAGTAAGGATACTCTCTATAGTGCACCTGTAGAAGTTGCAGAGTATCCTGGAATCCATTTTGAACCTCCTCAGCCTNAAGTCTGGTGCTGTTTTGACCCTTTTCATAGGCGTTACGACAACATCGTGTTTTATGGCGAGGGATGCCTTTCCATGGAAACGGCATATGGTGAGATTTCAGATTTGACGTAGAGCTGTTGAGGCATGGACCGGTGATATACAGGTGAAGATTGTGGGACAACCGGACCGTGTCCATTGGAGTTGCAGCGACATCTTGTTTTATGGCGAGGGATACGTTTCCATGGAAACAGCATATTAAATGTTCCATGTTAAAAATGGGATGAATTATGGGATGTATCTCTGGAATTATGAAAGTTATTAATGAGAAAAGTAATAGCCATCGATTCCCGACCGAGCTGAACGTTTTGATGTTTGAATGGAGTTTCTGCTATGTTCAATGTGGGAGCAGAAGAGGCGCAAAATAACCCGGCGGAATAATAAAGAATTGCGTGCGTCGAAGAATAGATAGTTGGAATGCTGTATCAGCATTCCCACTAAATAAGGGGTTGCACAGACTGACCTGAGGAGTGAGATACTGAGACCTGACGTTATTTATCAACCAGAGAAAAGAGAAGAGAGGATGCTATGAAACAGAACAGAGCGTTTTACAGAGCAAACCAAACTTTCTCCATTACTCCAGTCCACTGCTACACTTATTCATCCCCCCCCCACACACACCCTCACAGATATAGTCTCTATAGGTTTTGTGCTTGTCTGCTTTAATCCGGCTGGTTTATTTTGCTCTGATCAATGACCTGAGACTAAGAAGTGATCACCCAGCTGGAGGAAAACCCTGCCCTAACATCATCCCTTTTCCCCCTCTTTCAGCCTCTTTGTCTCTAATTCACCTTAATTTAATCCTGATAGCATCGAGTGCTGTCCCCCGCCTGGCAGCACTGTAAGTCTCACCGCAGAATTAGCTTTCCTTCAGACACATTTTGCTGACGGTGAGCGCGGCTAAAATATGGCCTCAATTCCCCAACATGGCTGGGACGGGGGATGCTTTGCATTTTAACAGAGCTTTGGTTTATTCTCCGGGACACACAAGGAGAAAATCACACAGCAGCGCAGAGATCCCACAGAAGATACAACCGGAACCCAAGATTTAGCAGACAAATTAGAAGGGATGGTTAGAGAGAAGCAGGGCCATGTGTCACTGTAATAGGAAAAAGACTGAAAAGATATTGCTAACTTTAACAATAAAACAGGCCCAGATAGAAATTAAAATAGTTCCGGAACAAAGCAGAATAAATAATAAAGTAAAGCTGGGCTATGTGTTACTGTAATGGAGATGTTTACTCTAAGATCAAATAAAGGAGGTTCCTAAAGGGGAAATGGGCAAGAAAGGAAAATAAATAGTTATTTAACAACTGGATGGAGAGGAGGATTGTGGGAGTGGTTCCTAAAGTAAAGGTCATTTATTAGAACTATACAGCTTCAAAGGTTTCTTCAAAGACAGCCATGGTACTTGGTTGAGGCTGTATGTAATTAAAAAGCATTTTCATTGTCAAATATTTATCCCATTATAACACTGTTTGTTATAATTGCGATAAAATTGGAAAAGAAATTCCAATAAAAGCAGTGAAAGATAATAACATATTTGTTATTATGTTTCTGCTGCCATACCAAACGTTAGAAGTATTATTCCAGGACCAAATGGACAGTGAAAACCACACTCTGCTGTAGACCTGGACGCCATGATGAGATTATCGCTCACAACGATATTGATAAACCAGCATGATGGACCTCAAATGATAAGAGAACTACATTCACTTCCTGTTATGAAGTGTCTCAGTGTCTCTTTTTCCTTTACTTTGTATATGCTTTGCCACGGCGTTGTAATAAATACAAATGTTTGCAATCATACTCTGACACTGTACTGTAACCCTTGTAACTCCAGCTGGAAGGTATTGTTGGAAATAATGTTAATGCACCTATTTGGGGATTCTTTGGTTTTCAACCAAGCACCATGTTGTTACATTGCGGTACGTCTGCTTAAAACTAAACACTAAATCAAGTGTGTGTGTCAGATGGCAAAGCATCACCACATGTAGGGTGCTCCCAATCCCAACGCAACACCAAAGCATTCTGTATGCTGCTGTCCAAGTGAGTAGGGCTGTGTCTTTGAACAATCTACTTTAGAAGGCAAATGTGTGCCCTTTCCTGTTTCAACAGGACATGGGCGTGGGGTTTGCAACCAAAGACGTTGAAGCTGGGCTCGTGTTGCTATGAGACGTACTAAGCCATGTTGATTTGTAAGCACGTCTTACTTTCCACTCTTCTACAGTGACGTGGCTAATGCTATGCTACTATGGTTCGCCAGCAGTAAACTAGTAACGTCCCCTGGCGCATATTTTCCGTAAACTTAGGTTTTTTCCGTTTTATTTGACATTCACAAATCAATAGAAATATTCAGAGCCAACTAACTGAAGTCTCAAAACCAGTGGGTTCCACAGCCAGTTTGACGCAAGGTGTTAGACTAAACATCACAATCCTCTTCCTCATTGCTTCACAATTTACTGGAAACGTGTTTTTTAAATTCCTATATTGTCATCTTTCAGCACGGCAACATATTAAGGTAGTTTTATTAACAAGAGGACCCCCACGCAAGAAGCCAGCTCCATGAAAGTGTCCCAGTTTGCTGTGGAGGACCGTCATGTATAGCAGCACATTTAGCCCACCAGTGTTTGAATGGCACACGCACGTTGATACACAGATGGGATTATTGGATGTCCACACACTGACACTGAGAAGGACTGGCAGCAGAAGTGAGTGTGTGAACAGGATTAGGAACTATGGTGCTGCTTCCACAGGTGTCTTCATTATTCAGCCTCTATAGCATCTCATCTCTCTCCCCTCCCTTAAATAAGACTCTTATCCTTTATAAAAATGATGTGAGGGCGCTGCCTCGGACAACTGCTCCCCTGACTTCATTTGTCTCTTGGCAAGTTTGATGGCGCTGCGTTTAAAAACCCATTCAATCTTATAAACCAAAAATTAAATGTAGTCGACTGTGATGGGCACTCAGTGCATCTGCTATTTATATGCTAATGTACACTCAGCCTGCCAAGGTCTGGCAAATGATTACTGCACAGCCATAAGTCAGGTGTATGGCAGAGAGGGGGGGGGGGCAGGTTAAGCATCACACACTCACACAGAGAGAGGAGGAGGGAGGGAAGCAGAGGGGAGAGAGCAAGGAGGTGGAAAAGCTGCAAGAGACGTCTCCATTGTCTTCTGACAGGTAGCAACACACACACACACACACACGCACACACACACATTGGCTGTGCCATCATTATCACAAGACATTTTCTTAAGAGAACAAGTGACTAACAGTTATGAGCATGTATAAACACAGTGAGAATATTACACACACATGAGGAACACTCTCTCACATGATATGAGGAGTTCAGGTGTAGCTGGGTTATGGACATAGTGCTCATACTACTATTATCACATGGCATACAATATCTGGACAGACTCAAAATCTTGTCTCTGAATTTGGTAACAAATATGCAAATGTGCCACCTGCAAATGTATACTGACTGCAATTAAAATGTTACACACAAAAATGCAAATGTGATAGTATATGTAATGTATGTATAATAAAGTATTATTCTTTTTTAACATTCACATCTTTCACTATGAATAGAAGAACAGGTCAATATTAAACATTTGAAATGAACTTACATTGGGAACTCTTCTAAGTGGCCTTCTGTGCTGCTGACCACCTCTGTATCTCTGGAGTCAGCAAGGCAGAGCATCCGATGGATCCTGATGGGACTCATTTCCACCAGCATCATGCTGTCGTCATGGTGACTGAGTTAGTTCTTACAGGATTGCTATCTTATTATTATATATTATTGATGTTGCCCCTTTGTGCTGTCTTTTCCTGTTAACAATAGATATGTGTGTTTGTTACAAGACACATCTTAGGTCGAACTATCTTAGGTGTCAAAAGCTGCATTTTTAGTGTTGTTCTGTTCTTGGTTAAAAATAAATAATGAAATGATTAAAACTCCTAATAAAAGCAGGTAGCTGTAGCAATAAGGAGTCCGTTTGAACAGGTATTCTGATCATCTTTACTGCAGGTTGTGGACCAACATCTAGTTTGGGTGAAGCTATCCACTTCCTGCACTTGTTATTTGAGTTACTTAACAATCTGTGACCCTACTTCCATCGTTCACTGGTACAAACATACATCTCAAAAAGAGAAGACATTTGGCCTGGTTTAGCTATTAGCTCATTCCCATCAGCAACACACAATAACAACATGAAATAGTCTCCATCACACCGACACACATCAAAGCATGGATCAACATATAAATACCAGTATGTCAAACCCTGAATCTGACTTCATTTCAATTCAAAACTGTGAATGACGGTCAAATTCATAAATAAATCAAAATAATATTCGTAACAATATTGGGCAGCAGAGTGAAAGTCCAGCACATGTTGGAAGCATCTTCCAGCTGGTGATGGGTGTGAATGCAGATCAGTGATAAGTGTGTGAGGGTCTGCCTGGCTCTATAGGAAGTCCACTGCCAGTGCCACTGATTGATTCCAACATATTTACAAAGTAATCAGGCCTGAAGCTTGCCGTGGAGTCTGACCTGTTCCAGGCCTGATCTGCCCAACATCCCACATCTCTATTACCACCTTGCTCTGCTGTTCATTACGACCCGGAGAGGATCCCATGGGATCGGACGCTAATGAGAAAAAGGCTCTCCACTCCCCTCGCTCTCGCTCCAGAGCTTATTCTCCGCTGCTTTACCCCATCATACTCCCCCGGCCCGACACCCCCACACACGCAGAGATGCTGCCTTTGTCTCCGGGGAGCAGTCAGCTCATATGATGTATAGGGTGACATCTTTATTTCACTAACCTAGGCTGGCAGGTCTATTAGCCAGTCCAGAGCTTCCCAAACCTCTCCCTGTCAGCCAGCTTATTCCCAGTTGTCGGATCCACTTCCCCCCCCCCACCTGTCTCAATCTGTGATCAAAACAGTCATTATTATACATCCTCGCCGACATTACACACTGCTATTCCTCATTTCACTGAGGACCTCTGAAAGCCCTGGGAACACACCTAGACTGTGGTAGGGTGCAGGGGCCGTCAGAGATCCCTGGGAGGGCCTGTGGTCAGTGATAGGAGACTGCCGCCCCCCCCCACCACAGCACTGGAGTCCCACAGGATCCATCAGCTCCACTTTGCAAACCCTCTCCTCTCCCTTCATCAGAGACCCTGATGGAAGAAGACTGGGTCCAAAGTGTTTCCTAAACGTTCCTCAGAACACTGATGAAGCCACAAGATGACACTTCATGGACTCCAAATCGCAATACTTTGACTTTTTTGTGACACCTTCAATTAATCCTGAGTGGCTCAAATTACAATACAACTTCAATGAAACTTCATAAGCTTTGTGGAACAAATGACTCCTGATCATCAGACTTGTTGTCTTTGCACCTACGTCAAACCGTAAAGGCATGTTTCTCCTCGTCTTCATGTACTCAAATTGAATGTATGCCCACTCTGCCCTTCAACCACTCGTGTTTTGTATATCAGCATCAGGTCATCATGGTTATCACTGCATGGAACTAAGCACTTCCTTACTGAGCGTTATGGGTAACCAGGGTTACCAAAGGTGTTGCACCAAACAAATGGCAGTGTTCTTTCTAAGTCCAGGCAGTAAGCCTTCCTTTAGACCGGGCACGCTATACATATGAATGCTCTTTTTCAGCCCTTGTGGTAAATGCTTTACTCCTTGCAGTTACTTTGAAGTGGTCTTCACTACACACTCCCCCTTTGACTCCATTCATGATAGAGTAACAGATCAACCCATCCAAGCTGCAATAACCGAAGCCCAGGACTCCCTATGAAGGTAACACATAATGAGGAATAGTGGCAAAGAGAGTTGGAGAGAAACATATTACTGGTGCACAACGAGAGAACGAGACACATTCAGAGAATGGATGTAGGAAAGAAAAGGAGGGAGAAATAGAGGGATAGTCTTTCTTTGTTTATCTCCAGTGAGAAACAGGCGGCCACATCCATTGCACTGTGATAAGATGGGTTATCAGCAGTAAACAAGGCCTGGGCCTGTATGAATGGAGCCCGAAGTGACTGAATACACTCTTAAAAAACAGATATGTTCAAATAACTCTGCATGTCTTATCCTTTCCTAAACACAAGCCCATGTTTTCAGTTTGCAGCTTCCTCCTGCTCATAGCTCATAGTGAAAACTGCCTTCAAACATATATAGTGTCTCAGAAACAGCTGCAGGAAGCACTGTGAGAGCTGCCTGTTCCCCACACTGTGTATATCAGTGTTTTTCAATACACACACACTACTTTGATTACGTAAAGCTCTCAGAATGCGTCCAACTCAGAACAGTCCAGAGACCCTTGTCATCAATAAGAGACACGATGAGTCTGTCTCTGTGAACACATTCATGGTGTCGCACTCTATTGTCCACACAAAAAACTGAAGGGAAAGAAGACCTCATGAAAACACCTTAACAAAATCAGGAATGAGTCCTACAATTCACAAATGAGTTCACATTTGGCAGTTCCTGTTCCCTAATTTTAAAGCCAATGTTAGATGCCTGAAATAAGGTGTGGTCACACAGGCGTTAGCTGTTTTAACGTCAAAATACATAAGTTAAAACCCCACTGGCGAATGTCTGAAGCCTCTGAGGGCAATACAAACGGCAGTTGCTAACAATGAGACTAAAATGCCCAACATCAGCTGCCTTTAGCTTAGCGCTGGGGATGTGAAGTCATGTGACTGTGCTGGAGTTTGTTTATAGCCCAACGTTAGCTTTTGACTTCTGGCGATTGCATTAACGCTTGAAAAATCATTAAGTGGTGATATTACATGTATATTAACCCATTGAACAATATGTATAATTATGATAAACTTGTGTTTGCCAAAGATCTTATTTTCTACAATATTCTGAAATCCAAAGGAAAGATCCCATTGTATCCTTACAACGCTAACGTAATGCTAGCTTTCCCTACAACAATACATCATCACTGTATATATGTATGTACAGTGGGGCAAAAAAGTATTTAGTCAGCCACCAATTGTGCAAGTTCTCCCACTTAAAAAGATGAGAGAGGCCTGTAATTTTCATCCTAGGTATACCTCAACTATGAGAGACAAACTGCCAAGGCACACTCCAGAAAATCTCATTGTCTGATTTTTAAAGAATTTATTTGCAAATTATGGTGGAAAATAAGTATTTGGTCAATAACAAAAGTTCATCTCAATACTCTGTTATATACCGTTTGTTGGCAATGACAGAGGTCAAACGTTTTCGGTAAGTCTTCACAAGGTTTTCACACACTGTTGCTGGTATTTTGGCCCATTCTTCCATGCAGATCTCCTCTAGAGCAGTGATGTTTTGGGGCTGTCGCTGGGCAACACAGACTTTCAACTCCCTCCCTCCAAAGATTTTCTATGGGGTTGAGATCTGGAGACTGGCTAGGCCACTCCAGGACCTTGAAATGCTTCTTACGAAGCCACTCCTTCGTTGCCCGGGCGGTGTGTTTGGGATCATTTTCATGCTGAAAGACCCAGCCACGTTTCATCTTCAATGCCCTTGCTGATGGAAGGAGGTTGTCACTCAAAATCTCACGATACATGGCCCCATTCATTCTTTCCTTTACACGGATCAGTCGTCCTGGTCCCTTTGCAGAA